GTCTCACTAGATTACTGTCAGCTTGGCCGGCTTAAGCGTCTGTCCCGCCTACTAAAAGCTGTAAGGGGGTAATTAACTATGGTGTCCGCTCGGCTGACTGCAATTTAGCCTGAACCCCCAGGGAGTTAGGTCGATCTAAAACTTAATCTTTAGATCGATCTAAATCTCTGGGAAAGCACCCTTAAACGTCTCACAGTTCACCACTTCCCCACTCTCCCCCCCTCTTCTCCACACCAGATGATGAATTCTGATATATGGCTTTCCCGATCATTACATGGTGTAAGCAAGCTAAGGAAATCGTACAGTTTTACACTGCTTATCAAAAGAGAAGATATCATCCACTGCGACATGTATAACGATGATGAACTTCTATTCTTTAGCCAATACAATTCAAGCTGGATGAAAACTGACTTAATTCTTCTAGTTCTATTCATGGCTTCGTCACAAAAAATATTTTTATGGCAGCTTTTAAATTAATGGTTTTGAAACTTAACTTTGCACAAATGCCATGACATCAACGCTCTTGCTTGTTGAGGCAAAGTAATGGTATTTTAGCGTGATTTGACGCTTATGAGAAACGCTGAGCGAGGGCACCACTCGCAAAATGTAATGGGACTAACAATATCGGTATTTCTGAGTTTTTTTGCATCAAAACAACTACTTCAAGTGGGATTTTTATTTCTAATCACAACTATCACTTCACTGCATTGCACATAGAGAAGTCAATGAGGATTACATACTTCAAACTATTACATCCCATGTTTAGCAATCTTGCCGACTGATGACGTCAGTCTCTTTGTGACGTCACATGATACACGAATGTTTGGACTGGAACTGGTTCACCGGATATTTTTAAAATGCTTAAATAGTGCCCGTTACAAAACTAACACTTTGAAATCACACTGCTGTCACGACTTTGCCTGGTCTTTACTTTTCAAGTTGATATTTTTTAAAGCAAAAGACAAAAATAGGTTTTGCCCAGAAACAAAAAAATGCATCAAACCTAATATTTCTAAGTACTGCTTTAAAGTGTAGAGAAGGACAGGGTTTTCAAATATACTTTGATGTATCAGTGATTGAACATGGCAGATACTCTGTTTACTGTATTTTTGAGTCAGCATTCTAAACATAACTAATTTAAACCCACTTAAGTTGCTTTTGTGATGCTGGGTTTTAATCTATGGATTAACTTTGAAAGAACTTGCACTTTGTTATCAATTACTAGATATAAATAGCTCTAAGTAAGAAAATGCTATTGGAGTCAGGCAGTGATGAAGGCGTGGCTGAAAACAAATAGCAATTTTGACATATTTGAGTTAAGCAAACTTGACTTAACCGAAATAATGAAAATGATATGCGCTATTAGTCGCTGCCTTGCAATGTGTATTAAGTATTCTTACGCGAAGTAACAATAATATCTTGAGGAATCGTTATAGTTTTGTAGTGTTGGAATCGCTGTACTCAATTTTCTATCACGCGTTGTTGTATATCTTCGACAGTTGTACTCTACAAGCAGTATGGCATTTGGCTGTATAGATAAGTCTCACCAGCCCGGATGCAAAGATCGCCCTTATCAATTCAAGTTGATTCTACTGTTATACAGACCGTGTGTGCTGTGAAAATACAACACTAGTGGGAAAACACGTTAACTTGCGTTCACCTGACCTTATTTCAACGTGTCAACTTATATTGAAAAACGTGTTTGTCGTAAGAATTACTATTTCTACAGAAAAAAAGATATCATGGTGTCCTAGAAAATGTGGACTGAAACAGAAAACACAGAAAAATCACCCCAGACAAGAAATCCCAGTATTTTCATGCATATGGTTAAACAGGGTAATCGAATTGATTCAGCGGAAAAACACATCAAGGAAAGCTGGTTCTACCCTAGCGTAGTAAAAAATAAATGAGAAATGTGTAAATCCTTCACGTCTTGGAGAGATCAAACACAAAAGTACTGCTATCCACCGTCACTTAATCGATACTGAATTTGACTAGCTCAAAGAGCTGATTAAACGTAAATCCTAATCATTGTCCGTCGCCCTTCTTCAGTAATAACTCTTAGAATATATATATAATTTTGGATTCAACGTACCTTGTTGATTTCTCTTGCTTCAAAAGTCTTGCACACATGAGATTAATTAATCATTGTCAACGACCTGCCGTCGTCGCATAACGCCCCTTCTTAAATTTCCTGGAATCCCTATAGGCATGTGATCACATCTAATTCTTCAGCTGCTTCAGCGTGGATACTTAGTCACTAGGAAAAACTATTCAGGCATTTTCCAATAGAAAAAAAAAACACTGCATCACCTGCCTACTACGGCAGCGAAATGTGCGTGCTAGCGCGCCACTCACCGAAAAGGCCAGCTCAGTTTCCGTCTTATCTCGCCTTCATCGTGTGGCCTCAGCGGGGCAAAGTTAGGAACTGAGACTTTTGATCGCCTTCCAAACCTTTTTCAAGGCTTAGCTATCAATGACAGCATCGCAAAGAAGTTTGTTAATTAGCTGTATGGAGTGAAGATAGAGTTGCCTGGTCCCACGGCAATGTTTTTGACTTCTAAGGCCTTACCCCGGCCGCCTCAATTTTCACTTTTCAAAATCCACAGGGGACGCAACATTTTGTCGGTGTTTGTTAAATATTTACTAATAAAAATTAAAGAAGATTTCATTTGCTTTTTATGTGAGTTTAGGGGCACGTTCTTTCACTAACACGTTAAGAAGTTTTTTGTGGCGAATTACCTTTGTGTTCAAGATGTCAGCGCAAATTAGAATCATTTGGAAAAGGTTTCGTCCAACACTTTTCGTACACCCTGTACAATCTACTTGCTTAATCTGACGGGTAAGTAAAATTAGGCTTAGAACAACTGCTTTGCTTGAAACCGATGACCTACGGGGATATTGTGAAAACATTGGCATGCGTGTTCACTTTGCCACTTTGTTTTTCATTATATTGTTAATAACCTCTAAAAATATTTTCAATTTAGCCTCGAAAAAAATAGATGGCATTTTGACCTGGAAATTTATAGCTTTAATGGAGCACAGAAGAAATGCAGTATCAGATGTAGAAGTTCAAAATCTTATTTTGAAAGCTAATTTGAAAGGTAAACCGATTAAATCAAGATGTAAAAGGCGTACGATTACGCTTTTAGTTTTTTTCTCTGATGTGGACGGTACAGCGAGCGCTGCTTCTGGAAATGAAACAGTGCTTACCTTTGTCTGCTGTATTTTTAGATATGCAGGAAAAAAAGAAACACTCTTTTCCGTATTTCTTTTAAGTATACATGTATACATAGAGAGCGAGTTTTCTCAGATACGCATAGACGTTGCCTTTATTTTCAGAAATTGAACGAGTGACGAGTGCATCTGCAATAACTTTTTTTGTTATTCCTTTTATTGCAAAAGCCTAAAAAGCACAACACAATAAACTCGTATTCACCTCACAATTAAGCGAACAAGATTTTACGACCTTGTCATCTTCCCATTATCTGTTGAATTAATGAAGTAGATGACACGGTATTCTGAATCATCAGTTACACTTCCCCATTTGACCAATAAAACTAGTGCCCGGCAAAATAACAATAAATGTCAACCTTTAAGACAATAGAAGTGCAAAACGCCCAATACGGCCGGTGCCTTTACAGGTGCGTTTTATTGTTTGTACATATCAGTTGTGATTAAATACGGACGAAATCGGGCGGAAAGCGTGTCAGTGCCAAACATGTTCCTCTTGTGCCTCGGCACAGGTGGGAGATAGTTTTATGCCATTGTTTGAAACAGACAGAACGAGGTGAAAAAAAGGTGTCAGCGAGTTCTACTGCGAAAAGTTTAGCGCAGGTCATCCAAATGAAAATACCGCATCAGTCGCAACTGTCACCCGATACAACGAGCCGTCGACTGTTATAGATTTCTTGTCCGATTTGAGGTCTTAAAGACCAATGTGGGACTTCGGCCGTAAGCCACAATCTCGGATATAATCAGTCACTGATCACGTTCGGAGATTTTGAGATGAACGTAATGTCCCTTTGCATTAACCCAACGTAAAATTTCTAGCACTTCAATAGAGTTTCAGTAGCAGCAAGAGAGATGCACTAAGGCAAGAGAGGTCGCAACAGCGAAAAAATTCTTGATTGAATTAGCCTCCGGGGCGTTTGATGTGAACAGCATGGAGGGTTGAGAGAATTAACAATGAACGTATGGAGTGTTAATTGTCAATAATTCTGTTAAAAAGTAAAGCAATAACAGTACTTTTTGTCTTTTGTTTGTTTTTTGTTATTTTGTTAAAATTCCAAACAATGGAGCTACATAAAACAGCTACCAATTAAATAAACGGTGGATTAAGTTGGTTTCTAAAAAGTAACGCCGAGGCCGATGTCGAAATCACACTGCCTGCTAAGCAAGAATTGAAACATTTTACAAAACACAGTTCTGTTGGCTTTTGTTCGCAGCTTTTTTATAGGCGTCCCAAAACAAGTCAACGATTGCAATTCCTGCTACAGATCAATTACGTCACTTCAAAAATGGAATATTTACCACTTAACCGCGCCAAGGGCTTTTCAAGTGCGAACCATAAACGAGTAGCGCTGCGCAACATTTGAAAGTTGCATTCGGTTACAAATTCAATTTAACTCGTTTTAATTGAGGGTTATCGATATGTGTAGGCCATTTGTATACCTCAATTGAAGCCAAAACAGTTCCTAATCAAGCGCGTGTTATATGTTAGAATAACAACATGGAACTAGACATTACCTGAAACGTTACAGATAAGTGGAAGAAATTAAAATCCTGCCCAAATGGGTTTCCCTGTAGCCCAAATTACCTTAGCTTCACTTGGTAACAACCTAAGCATTGGTATCGTTTGGAATTCATTTGTAATGCTTCAGCGGTAGGAGGAATGAAGAGCAAAGAGAAAACAAAATGAAAAAGAAGAAATAAAAAAAGGATTCTTAAGTAATATGACTTCTGTAATAAAATAATGAACCTTGTTGTTCTGTACTTACGGAGCTTCAAAGCATCCTTGTGGTTTTTAATCTTGAAGCGGTCTTTGTGGTAAGAAAATGCTTAATCTTTCACCTGGATTAAATGTTAGTTTAATTCTTGTGAGGCATCGTATTGTGACTGGCTTAATGGTGAACCGAGGTCTCCTGCTGAAATCCGTGAAATAATCGGCAATCAAGTCACATTTGACATTCAGAGTCTAATTGCAATGTGCCATACTGTGGCGTCGTGGTTCGTTTCGTCTTAGCGTAAAGAAATTGCTCGACAGGTAGTAGTATCTCGCTTAACTGATGCGAATGCCAGATAAAATCCCAGTAATAATCAAAATGATTATGGATACGAAGCGTATCAATTGAACAGTCTACGTTGACACCTCTCCTCTCTTTCCCTCGCAAAAAGATTTTCAGTTTGTCTCTGCAATTACATTAAGTCAGTCGAGCTTCTGGTTTCTTTTGCTTTGGATTGTCCTGTGGAACTATACATACGTGTTATAATGCACGATTTACAAAGTTTTCCAAAAGTCATTGAGTTAAATTCTTGAGTTAAAAACACGTAACCAACATGAGTTTCGCCTAAGTTTCCTTATTGCTCTGCACTAAAGTATTCTGGTGCTAGTAGGATTCCCGTGGGGGAAGAAATGCACAAAAATACCCAGTCGCTCCATTTATAAGTGTTACGATAGCATGAAAAAAAGTTCCGCGAATAAATCAAAAATTCCAACAGCTCCAACAACCAACCATCAATCGCAGAACCTACCTCACAGATCACTTTGCACAAAACGTATTTTGTAATGTAATAACAATAAAATTAAGCCCCAAGATCGTCCGAGGATTGCGGTACACGAGAAAAGGGCGTTCGTGGTACTTGAGAACACGTGGAGTAATCCGGGATATCTCCACAGGAATAAGTGGGTAGTCATTTATCTATGCCATTTCAGAAGTGGATTGACTCCAAAACAATGCAAATTGCGGAAAACTATAAAGGACAAACAGTTGATATTTTAAGTAGATTTTTGATGAAATTAATCAAATGAGTATAATGTGAACGGATTGTGCCCTTTGTTTCCTTTGTTGCATCTATGGTCTAAGTTACGTAAAATCAACACCCACGTTTCAGAGTGCTAGGGCCAGTTCCACAAGAAAACTTTAGCCCGAAAATTGGTCTTAACTTTGTCCCAAGAATAATAATAAGCCATAGTCCAATCAAACGAAACGGTGAACCGGTTGTATTAACAAAGACGACACTACAAATATCCATCAGATCAATTCTAACTATACAAAAATTAATAATATGAAATAATTGTGAAGTAAAGTAGACCAAGTTTGTGCTTTTAAAGTTCCGACCATCTTTTCAGGCTGAAGTTACCTTGTGAAACTGGCTTCCGACGCGAACAGATTGCTGGCAATGTTGTCTATTGGTTTTGCGTGGCACGGAAATGATCTGTTAGCTGATTGATCAGTGAAATACATAAGGTTGTCTGAGATGAATTCCACAACAAATAGGGAAGTACGAAGGGCAGTCACCAGTTGGGCTGCCTGTAGGGTTACAACAAATTTTTGCATGAAAAGGGTTGAAACTTTCACCTTTTCTGATCCAAATCCCTGGGTAAAGTGTGATTCCACCCCATGGTTTTTCAAGTATAGAACTTCTGGACCGCGGATATGCAATCAATTTTAGTTCCAATCAATTTGATTTCTATGCTCCTATTCGTAATATGTGTTTAAGTTACCCTTGGATGCTTTTTTATTGAGGTTTTATAAAAAAAAGTTCACAATCCCGTTTGAATAACTCTTTTAATACTAGAAGTTGGTAGAACAGTTATCAAACTCAGCAGGCCATTTGCAGATCTAAACTCTGCCTTTTAATAGATCTTCAAAGAGACGATCTCATCAATCACCCCACAGTCAAGGCCACAAAAAGTCGAAAATCATTATAAATTCGTTTAGTCCAATAGCTTATTACTGACCCTATAATTTGATATAATAAGCATTACACGGAATAACCTGCCTTATTTATTTGCTTTATTGAAACACATGTACAGAAAGAAGATTCGTGCCACACGTGCTGTATAATTAACTTAATTTCGGAGCTATGAGTAGATTTGATGCTGCTCGTAATTATTGTGTCGAATCCCAATAGAGTTTTCTTCATTTTTTTTTGTTTTTGTTTTGGATAAAATAGTCAGATTATCAAGGGATTACAACATATTATTAAGAGATACAGTTTAGGCCTAGCTAGGAACCAAACCAAATCAGAAAAAAAGGCATCATGATCTGTGTGTGTGTAGGAGATAGGGAAAGGGATGTCGGGGTGTGTGCTGATGTAGCAATTTAGTTTTCCACAGACACTTTCTGAAATTATTGTATACTTCTGATTCATGACAAAGACTTTGCTTTTCCCAACTATACACATGATTGCAATGTATCTATGGCTTTGATATCACGCAAATATCTTCATTTTCCACATTCTCTTCACTTCAAGTTTACAATGTCATTCATTCACTAAGTGCTGAAACATGTATCTCCCTACTAATAGAGTTGCGTAGTTCATAGGTCAATACGTGTCTCAAACGACTGGAATAAGCGTTCAAATAGATCCACCTTAAAGTGTTGTCAATTCGCTAATCCATAAATTGTGTCATGAGTTGCTAATCATCGAAATTACATTATGACCTAGTTTTGTCATATATGCGGCTCAAGCTTCAAGAAATCGTTATAAAGTTGTCCTGGCTCACGGCTAAAACGTGTCCCCAGACACGAAGCTAGGGTTTTTTAAGTTAATGGAGTAAAACAGGGGTTTCGGTGTAGCCCCCCTCCCCCATTATCCGCGAGCGCACTATACAAAGGCTACATACGTCCAGCTGCAAAATGCTAACAAGAGGCCTAAATGCCAACTTTTTAACCTTACGCTTTGACCTTCAAAGTAGGGGCGGATAACTATAAAACATTCCAAATAAATAAATAAATATATAATTAAGAACTAAATAGACAGACAGACAGACAGACAGACAGACAGAAAGTGATAATAAAATGAAAATGGAGAGTTTACTAAACGAGATCGACTTCATACGGAGCTTATCGCGACCGTGCAAGGCAATTTTTGCAATTTGGGCTTCCAATTCATTACCCAGGGCCTTATCCCGTGTTGCCAAGATCAACTCTAGGAAAGCGTTTATTACATTTCGTTGAATACAACTCTTCCATCATCGTTTCACATCCGTTTGCACTTGTACAGACATCCCTCATTGGAGCAGGATATTTAGTAATCTTATATGAAAGCCAATATGATAGAATTCGTTGAGGTTTTGTAATACCAAGCAAGTGTCTGTTAGCAGGTTACCCTATTATGGTATCTGACTTGGGGTTCTCAACAAAGCGAGGTTATCTTTTCACAGGCTGTATTCGCTGCATTAGGCTGTAGCCCTATTGATTTGAGTTACGTCTTGTGAATAAGCACTATCTGGCTTCTCTACACAGATCTTCAGAGATGAAATATTATATGATGTTATATTATATTACAAATAACTGTTATTGTCTGAAAACGCTTAATAGACACGTCTTTCGTGGAAGAGTTGCCTTTAAAGGTGTCATATATGTGATAAGAAGTCCCATTCATCCTGTAAATCACCGAGAAATAATGAGCACTTTGTATATGGCTTATGAAAAATATTTGAAATATGCAATAAATATTATAAATGGCTAGTGTGTTTTTTTTCAATGCGGGTTCCGTCTTCTGTCTCTCTTACTTTCTATCCTTCTCTCTATACAACCGATGATCAACGCAGTAATAAAGGAGCTGTGTATCAGCACATAAACTCTATAACTTTGACTTGTGTATGCGAAACACTTGTAGTTTATGGAGGATATGGCCAAGTAAGAGTTATGGTTTAATCTTTGTGATTTGTTTCTCCAAGCACCTGCTATCTTAATTTTCAAACTGATATTCCGGCGCGTGCCAGTGAGTAAACCATTGCTTATTAGTCGTGTCTTGCACTAAAGGTAAGCCATACTCGATTGCTTCTTTAAACTGACGTGACTCAAATTACTGTTTAACCGTAAGCCATTTCCCTTGCTGCAGCATTCATTAAACTGAAAGCTATCCTTTTTTCCCGTTACTGTAGAATGTTCAACCGTGATGATGAAACGACCGAAAGGTTTACACAGTTTTATTTTTTCGTTTTAGTTCCAGTCAGCTGGTTAGCTATCAACTTTCCCCACGTGAAAGTAACCTTTTTCGACCTCCACTTTTCTGACACTTGTCGATAAAAGGCAAAATAGTCTAGGTTTACCTATCCCGAGGCGCTGCATCACGAACACTAAAAATACGGTATTCTTATCCGGACTTTTACTTGCTGAAAGAAACCGAGTTGGCCTAATAGTCAACTATTTTAGAAACAGCGATACTTGACTCGTAGACTTCAAACAAGATAGCGGGTCCCCAGAGAGCTCCAAGTGCGTAATATGTTTGCTTTAGCCTAAGGAGGACACCTTTTCTAATTAAAATTCCAATAAAGCTCAAGGGAAAATGGGAATATATACAAACAATTGCATTTGGTGTTTTTTAGTGACTAGTCTCTTGGAATTTTAAAGTAATTGATCTCGTCTTGAAGTCAGCACCATCAAAAGAATAACTAAAGATGGCGCTGTTGAGTGCAGTTGTCACCGTCAGTTTGTGTGACCCGTCTCTCTCGGTGCGCCTGTCACCAAGATCGCATGTAAAAATAAAAGGCCGTGCAAAACATGGCGCCCGTGGCAAAAGTGTACAAAAAAGATGACCAAATGTCGAAAGGTAATGACATTTTTAAAAGGAGGGGGAAAAAACACCAACATGGCACCAGGTTTTTAGGATGATGCCATTGAGAAAATTGTATTATTTATTTATTTTTTATGAGTGGGGGAGGGGCTGAGTTAGAGGGACTACCCACCATGCAGAAATATCCTGAAGATTACAAGAAAAAGAGCAGCACTTTGATCATGTTTGCAAGGTACATCATCAAATTATTCCTACTTTGTAAAAAAAAAATAATATTGTATGCACTACCTTACTACGCCCAGTGGCTGTTGTTTTCGCTTAATTCCAGCGAAAAGGAAATTGAAAAAACCTTCAAAGAGAATACTCAAACACTTGAAATTTTGTAATCGGTTGGCACCAAAGCACTCAGTGCACCTTATTTCTTGCTGCTTTTAAATTATTGTAAGTATGTTTCATTGAGTACAGGATGTCCTATTTGACCCTGCATAATATTTGTTTTCTGATATACGTACACATATATAATAAATGGGTACCCTGGGAATTTAAATGAAAATCAATTTTGAAAAATATCAAATTAAAAAAAATGATGTGTTATTGATGATGTTAATGATTTTTGCAGATCAACGATGTGATCAACGGTCAAGTGTTGAAATTAAAACCGAACATTATATCCAAAGTCCGAGTCTTGTGGTAATATGTAACCTTACTGTATGAAAAAAAAAGCCGAGTCTTGTGATATAGTAGGCCAATAACCTCATCCTATGACTTGACAAGA